AAAAAATTGTGTATGGATGTGCAATATGTACACAATTACATTAAATATGTGCTAATTGTGCATGCATTCTTAAACAAAAATCTTTTTTTTTTCTTCATTTATTTATTAACAGCATGTGAGGGACTGACAATTTCTACTTTTTTTCGTTCATTCAATTTATTTTCTTTATTTCCTTTTCTTGCTTGCTTTCTTTATTTTATTTTCCAAAAATAAAACTTGTGTCAAAAAACTATATTAATATGCAATTTGGACACTTATTCAATAAGTATTTTTAATTTTGTGTGCATTCTAAAACCAAAGATCTGCTTTTTGGAAATATTGCACTTTAATTTTTGTTTTCATTTTAACTGCATATTTGGGATTGAAGATTTCTGCAAAACAGTTACTAATGTTTACAATTGTTTATTAAATGTAAAAGATACTTGAGAATAATATTATGTTCACATTAATTTTTACATTCATTCATTACTCATAATAGTGTGGTTTATTGTATTTTTAGTGGATGTTTCTGTTATACATGGTGCAAACACCATCAGAAAATCACGAGAAAGCAAGGCTAACACAAATACAAATACAAAATCTAAACCACATCTGCGATTACTTTATAGGATGAGAAATTAATCATTGAACGAACTGTTTTGGAGGTCTGTTTGGTTTAGTCAGTCGTGTAAGAACAGGCTGGAGCTGTGAAGCACTTCTTCAGGTGTGCTTCTGTGGTTTTCTGTAGTTCAGCTGCTGTTATGTGCACTTTCTCATACGGTTTAATCACACAGAGAGCTGAGCTGGGACTTTCACTCTCATTTACACCCTCTAATTGTCTGAGCGGGTGATTGGAGCCGTGGTCTGTGGCCAGAGGGATTGTGGGATTGGATAAGAGTCATCCCATCTAAACCATCATCTGAACTCAGCAGACACAAACTCTCAAACTCTCTCTGTCTGATTCGCTTTCATTGTTCTTCGGTTAATCTCGGACTGTTGAAGAAATTATTCTTCAGTGTTTCCAGTGATTCTGTTCTGCTCTACACTTACATTGATACTTTTGGGTCTTTGGAGAGTATATATACTATTTTACATACAATACACAAAAAATATCGAATCACAAATCATACAAAGTATAGAATAATTAATAGAATAAACTAAATAAATAAATGCACACATACATAATTTGCTAAACATAAATTAATGTCTAAACAACTATTCAAAACATTTACAGAAGTCACATGAAACGCTTGTTATTTTTGTAAAAGCTGAAACCGATATCAATTCTCTCTCTCTCTCTCTCTCTCTCTCTCTCTCTCTATATATATATATATATATATATAATTTTTTAAAGATTACTCAAATTAGTGGAAGAAGCAAAATTAAAAAAAAATACATTTTTCAAAAATATATTTTCATTTTATATTATATATTATGTATTTATTTTTTTATGTATGTACTGTATTATGTATAGATTCATGTTTGCATTTATGTTTAGATTTACTTATCTGCTTAGATTTATGTTTAGAATGATTTGTTTAGGTTTATTTATGTTTAGATTTAATTGTGTTTACATGTATATATTAATGCTTAGATTTATTCATTTTGTTTGTATATTTATTTGTTTACATTTGTTTCTTTTGTGTCTTATTGGTTTCAGTGTATTGTATGTAAGTCTGGCATTCTTAAGGTTTTTTTAGAAAAGAATTTTGTTCTTAAGTGATTTGCCTGCTTAAATAAGGCAAAATAAACATTTTGAATAGTCCTGCTGTATGACAAACTGCCTCTTAATTAATATGAGCACATAAAAACAGCTTGCAAAATAATTTTAAGAGTTTTAAAATGCTGTTTTAAATGAAGCATGCCACACCACAGGACTGTCAGCTTTGCATGTTCTGTCAAAGTATTTCTCTCCAAGTATTTAGAAATAAAATCATATAATGTTATGATTATGTATATAATAATGTTATCATATAATGTAACACATGGTGCAGTCAGTGCAACGCACCACACCGAGTCATTCTCTCTTCACTCAAGTGGTGATGCATGACTGTATGAATGTATGGTGATGGATGTTAATCTGTGTGTGTGCAGGTATTTCGTGTTGGACCCTGATGTGGGTCAGCTGCAGTATTTCGTGAGCGAGCAGGGGCGGAGTCAGAAGGCCCGCGGATCCCTGCCTCTGATTGGTGCGTCTGTGACGGCGAGCGACGAGGCGCCTCACATGTTCATCGTCAGCTCGGCCAATGGGGAGCTCTTCAAACTCAGAGGTATTTTACACTCGCACTCGTGACTCTCAGGTCAGTGCGTTCAGGAGACGATGAGCTAAAGGTTACTTGTTTCACGCAGCAGTATTGGGCTGTTACCACGGCAACCAGCAGCCTCTCTTTACAAAATTCATGTTTCATGCAGGAGTTTGTGTATTTATTCAGTATTTTTCTCTCTAGTTCTGGAGGCTTTTGTATTGAGAGTCTCGCTGGTATTCAGCCTGTTTCTCAGTCTGTCCAGCCATATGGAGAAAAACTGTGAACTAAACACATGATTCACTTCCATTTGGATGTCAGTTCTATACACTACCATTCAAAAGTTAGATTTTTTTTTCCCCAAGAAATGACTACTTTTATTATTTTATTCATATTCATTTCAAGCATGCATTAAATTGATAAAAATTGACAGTGAAGGCATTTATAATGTTACAAAATATTTCTATTTCAAATAAATGCTGTTCTTTTGAACTTTCAATTCATCAAAGAATCCAAAAAAATTACGGTTTCTGCAAAAATATTCACCAGCACAACTGTTTTCAGCATTGATAATAATGAGAAATGTTTCTTCAGCTGCAAATCAGCATATTAGAATGATTTCTGAAGATCATGTGACACTGAAGACTGGAGTAATGATGCTGGAAATCAGCTGCGCATCAGGAATAAATTCCATATATTTCCAATGTTCTCGCTGTGTCATCAGGTTCATTGTTTAGAATGAATCTGTGTTTATTAGCATCTCTGTTAATTGCAGTCAGTCCATCTCCTGCTCGTTACAGAAGCATCTTCATCACCTAATTAAAGTGGGAGCTTGTTTAAATTGCAAAAAGAGTGAAGCTTATCTGTGATGAAGCATTCTTGACATCTGGTTTACCCATTAAATGAGCATTAAATAGGTTCTGATGAAGGTTGTAGTGCTGCATGTTCTGATGAGAGACAACATCTATTTCTATGAGCAACAATAACTGAGAAACAGTGAGAGGAAGAACATCTGGTACATTGACTCTCAGAGGATCTGCTCGCTGCTGCCATCTCAAGGGGTTCTGGGTATTTACTGTGAGGTTTAGTAGCTGGATTCTACTAGCTGGTCCAAGGTGGCTCTCAGTTGTGAGGATTTGGCTAAGCTATGAAACCAAGGACCTTGATGATGAAAATCAGGTCATGTCATCTTAAATTCAACATGAAATCAAAGCTGGCCTGCTTAAAAAATTGAGAAAGGAGAGTGCGCACTCAGCATGCTCCTCTGACCGTCAATGGTGTGACTGTGGAGAGGGTGTGCAGCACCAAGTTCATTTATTATATTTAACATTTTTATTTTAGATTTATTAATTTAGTATAATTTAATGTATTTATTGATGTGTATTAGATTTATTTTATTTTATATTGATTTGTTTATTATTAGTTTTTTACATATTAGTTTTTTATTTTATATTGATGCATTTTATATGTATTTATTACACATTTAATGTATTTATTTTTGGCACCTGTAACAAAATCAGGTTTTGCAAGCCAACATTAAAAAAATGACAGTATGGATGGGAAACATTAGGCATCTGATTAATAATTTAGATTTTTATTACAAAATGTTTCCTGATGCATCAGTTTTCCTGCGACATGACTGAATGCAATGTTAATGTTAGTCTGTTCCCTTGATTTTTTTCTCTTGTGTGCAAAATACTTCCATTTAATGTGACCAGATTAGCACACCACATCTTATCTATAATGTTTTGTAAGAGTGTGCTTGTTAAATAAACCAAATGAAATATAATCATTTTAAAATTGCAAAGATGCAGTGTGTGTGTGTGTTATGTTGTGTTAATGTCTGGGCGGCTGCTGCTCTGTTTCTCATTAATGGTCTGTTTCTGGTTTATTCAGGCTCTAATGTTGATGCCCTGCTGAAGCTCAGGGAAGTTTGATGATTTCAGCTCAAGTGCTTCACTGGCGCTTGTTTTGTCTTTAGGAATAGTCTGACTTCCTGTTGAATGTGGAAGTGATGCGGTGTTCAGGGTCACTCGTCTGACCCTCAGCAGTCATTGTGAAAGATCAGTGTGTTATTTTAGTATCAGTGAGATACTATTATACTGTAGTTTTTATTTAGAGTTTGAATTAGGATCACTTTTATGTTTACATTTTAGTTACTTCTTAGTTAGTTTAGTTAGTTCTCTACTTAGTAACAGTTTTGGTGTTTTACTTCAATCCCAATCTAACATGATGTAATAGAAATGCATCTTTTAAGCTGTTTCCATGGTGACTATAATGCATTAATGCATATTTACTCTCCCTCTCTCTCTCATGTTTTCTCCCATAATTCCTCTGTCCCAGCGGTGGACGCCACAGAACAGCAGCAGTGGATGACGCAGCTACAGGCGTGTACCAGACGCCACTCCGACAGCAGTGCCAAGGTCTGTGCGACCACACACACACACACACACACACACACACACACAAACAC